CTAACTGTGAGGAAAATGCTTCAGTAGGAATTATTTATGCTGATATCTGACACTTGGCCTCATATCTTAGGAACTCTTTGGTCATTAACAGTTTTATTTTCCTCCTAAGATTCCCATAGGAAAGTTAAAGCTGTCATTTATTTGAAATTCATCTAAAGAACGCAAGAGAATGTGAGAGCGGTGAGCTCCAGAATATTCTTTCCACATGAAGCTCTGCCTTGGTTTATCAAAAACTTGACTGGATTCCTTAGTGTCCAGTAAGCACAGCCCTAGAGGAGACCCCCTGCGAAGATCGTTGGCTTTACACCCTGTGTTATACACTTGAGGGGGAGGAGGCTTTGCCTTGCCCAGGCGAGGCTTTGACTTGTGCAGGTGACTTGCCCAGGTGACTTGCCCAATTCTACTTATTGAGCAGACAGACCCAGCTCTCCTGCCGCAGCCTTTTGCTGTGACAAATGGGGTCACAGCAGATCCTGAGGCTCCAGCTGGGTGGGAAAACGTCCCATGATGTGTTGGCTCAGGTGGACATGCTGGTGTTAAAGATCAAAAAGGAAGAGCAGAGATAGGATTGGCGTGTGTATACCATGGAGGGAAAACGGGGAAACCATTTGTTTTTGGGAGGCACCTGCAAAACGAATAAAAAATTAACTACGAAGTTTCGTCTTATTGCGTACTGACTATAAAACTGGAGAAAGAGCTTAGTAATATTATTCATGTTCTCAGTTTAGAATAAAAGCTTCAAAGCCACAGGTGTTTCTTTTAAAATCATTATTAGTGTAAATTAAAATTCAATGTTAAAGTTCTAAAACTTTATATAAACCACGCAGTGCCTGAAGGCACTTGTTATTTTGTGGATTATTTGATCAGTACCAGGAAAACATTTCTTGTGCCCAAATTCCCTTCTCTCTTGTCTCCTGGCCACCTAAGATGTTTGCCGTTGGTTTTTGCCCTTTGGATTGTTATTATGGTGGGCGGCTCCTGGGCTCTCTGTGATGGACAGTGGTTCCTCAGCTTGGACTACTTACCAGCGCTCTGGCAGAGAGCAGAGACCCGGGGGAACGGGACACCGAATCAGGAAGTTTTGATGGATGCAGAAAAAAGGAGTACCAACAAAGGGAACTCTCCTTCATGGTGAGGACGGAGCGGAGGCAAAATTTTTTTAAAAATGAGAAGCATCCCCAGAGAAAAGAGCTGAAGCTGTTGAATAATAATATTGCCTATCTCATAATTTCGTCTAGAATTTGCACGGGTGGCTAATGATACATCGATGCTTTGGGCTCTTTCTTTTTAATGACTACACACGTGCAACATTTGCAGAGTGTCTTACAGGTTGGCAAGTGCAGCCTTAGTCATGACCGCACGTAGGCGACTTTGTCAGTTAGTCGGGACACGTTCTACAGCTCCATTTTAGAGATAGGAACACTGAGGCACAGAACTATTAAGTGGTGTGTCCAAGTGTATGTGACCAGTGAGTCGGGAGGCTGAGATGGGGACTGGCCCCTTTTGGTTCTGAACCCAGCGCCCTCCCCCCGTTCCGGGATTGAGCCGGGGCAGGGATGGATGCTTCAGTCCCATGCCGCAGGCTGGATCTTGCCACCTTTCTTGCCAGCTGTGCGACCTTGGGCACAGTCCTTACCACTCTGTGTCTCAGTTTCTTCATCTATGGTGTGTGGATTCCTTCAGATGAAACAAGCAAAGCAATCAGCTTAATGCTCGGAGATGGCAGGTACTCTATACGTAGAACAAGAAACACCTGGAAAAGATACCCACTGCTCTTACTTCACAGAACTTTCCTAAAGTTAAAGGTGAAATGGTGCATCAGGGCAACTTTTCAGTTTATTCGATGACACAGCCTCCCCTTGATTTACTTTAATTCTGAGACCAGCTCCTATGAAAATGTGTGTGTGTGAACGCACTGCGCACGTCTTGGGCCACACCTGTACAAGTGTATCCCAGGCACCTGTGCACGTGTGTGGAGGTATAGCAGCAGCTGGTTGTCCCCGTTTCTAGGCCATGTGGAACCAGACACAGCAGTCAAACACGGAGCATTTGTCTGCTGAAGATACCTGGAAAGTGGATCAGGACCGTAAATCTAACTCAGCCAGGCGGGCCCTCGCTCTGTGACTGAGCTCCAGAAACTCAGGCTTCGTGCTGTCAGTGGACTACAGGAATACTTGCAGCTTCGACCTGGAAGGTTCTGAGCAACTCTCTCAGTAGACACAGCTATGGACTCACAGAACTGCATTTGTTTTCAAGTATACTTTATTTACATGTATTTGTTCTTTCTTGAAATATTTTAGGATAGACTTGGTTAAAATCATTGCATAAAATAATCTTAACTTTTTGTAACATATGGCGCAGAACAATTCAACACTTTACAAGTATGTTTCACTGATGCACAAATGGGAGAAGCACCCTTTGTCAAAAGCAGCACAGTAACTTAGTTCCATTTGGCTTCGGTAGCATTGCAAAAAGTGACCATGAGGTGGCGCTGTGGACCAGAGGTTGAGTGTGTTCCAAACAGCTTTCCCTAATTACGGCATTTTTCTTTCTTTAAATAGAGAGGAATCTACTACTATTCAGCTTAAAGTAGAGTCAGGTTGGTCACTCTGTTTTAATAGCATTGACCAGGACTGAGTTCTTTAATTACAGATCCATAAATCATTCAAGGATCATGTCTCCCTGGGGTGAGTGGTGTACTTCAAAAGCCTTCGTAGTCAGAAAGTCTCCAGACCAGACAAAGGGCCCAAAGGTAACCATTTTATTTAGATCAATCAATGATATATAAGGACCATTGTTTTCACAGCCCTCGTAGAATTGTGTTACAGTCTTCCCATAAACTCAGGTCAACTTCCAGTTTATTTAAAGAACTGACACTTATTACATTTTAACCCGCTTTGAGAACAATGGAAGATCATAGAAACATCAGTACATGAATTCACATTTAAATCAACATGATACAAACATGCACACATGTGTACTTACTGAGTGTTTTCGTTAATGACTCTTGCTTCTCCTCCACATAAATATATAAATATTGAATGAAGTGCATGGGAACGTGTCTGAGTACACGTACACAGGTACATGTTTGTCTATGGTATACACTTGAATAGATACTTATGGAAGGAAAAACATACACATTGGTAATATATATGTAGTCAGAAGGCATGTGTCAGGCAGTATTTATGCTCATTCGGACCAAGACCGAGTACACGGGTGGACTCTGTGATCTTTTCTCTATGACGATGAGATGTGCAGAGTTATAAACTAAGGCAAAAATACGTAACAGCAGAGACTTTTTAATACTTGTATTTGTATGGCTCACCCTAAATTCCAGCTTTGAAGTCAACACCTTTCAGTGTCTCTCTAAGGATGTAATTAGGAAAACCCTAGCGCACTTCCAGATCACACAGTGGCACCTCCTGTCTTTTTGAGTTTTCAGATCTATAGTTTTTCAAATGGCTTAGAGCAAAAAACTATTTCTCATCCAATAGAAAATATATGACTGCTTCTTCTTCTTCTTCTTCTTCTTTTTTTTTTTTTTTAAATTAGGGAGTCCAGTGTCAGCGGATAATAAACGAGTTAGTTTTTCGGGAAGTAGAACAAAACGTTTCCTCAAAACTTTGATAGTCATAGGCTGGGTCCAGGTTGAAGTGCCTATTTCTAAACTAATTGCAAATTTTGACCGCAAGTAATATAGTCCCCCTCCTGTGACTGGTTGATATTCATTGGCAACTAATCAGGAAACTTTTTGAGAAAACTACCCTCAGAGTAGAAACAAACCACTTTCTGAACCAGGTCAGAAAGAAATAACTTGAATTGATTCTCAATCTAAGTCTGAATATTTTTGCCAAGGGCTGGTCCAAATGGGTCGTTTTCTTTAAAGGCAGGGATCTTACTTTAAGTATTTTTCTCTCCTGAGCACCTAAGACACTTCTTCATAGATAGCGTACACTCAGTAGGTGATTGCGACCCCAAAGCTAACAGTAAATAATACAGAGCGATTATTCCGAAAGCATCGGTTTCCCTGATTGGTGGGTGCCCGTGGGAGAGTCATCTGCGTTTTAGAGATGCCCTAAGACGCTATTGCTGTCAGTAGCCAAAACCCTGAGTTTATTCCTCAGTCCCCACACGGTGACCTCGATGCTCAGAGAGCGTGTGCACGGTGCCCAGTGCCTCTGGGGTGCTGCTGAGGAGAAGCAGCTTCTTGAAATGTGTTTGGTGATGAGGAAGGATCCCTTTCACCGGGGAGCTCCTAGGACAAACACTGGACGAGACCACTGTTTACATTCGGTAGTAGGAGGGAAAGCAGCGATAGTTAGGCAATAACACTGAAAATCCGTTTCACTTCTGAGAAGCATCGACCTGGAATGCAGCGAATGCCAGCAGCTTTGTGAAAACTTCAAAATGGCATCGATGAAAAAGCAGGAATGAAAAAGTTGTCAAGTATTGTACTTAAGTATCTTAGCAAGACCGACTTTATAACACTGTTCTTAGTGACTTGTTGTTGTTCTAAATACGTATCATGGTAAGTGTCACAGAGGATTTTTCTTTAAGAGGCCATTGTATTTACCAAATTCTCATTATTTATAGCTATTTTTATTTACAGCAGGAGGTGACCAACTCGTGCTCAAAACTGACAACGTAAGAGCAAAGCTTCGGCTTGAAAATAGAAGTCATTTTAGATTTATGTGTGGCCTCGTAATCATTACACAATAAAAGCGAATTATTTTAAAGACATCTCATTTACAGTGTTAAAAATAAGCGGCATAAGCCTCCCAGCCGAAGTGCTGTCAGAACGTTTGTGAAGTGCGCATTTTGCGGCACTTCGCCCTGCTTTTGACTGACGGAATAAAATGAGGCATCTAGGTGGGATTGTGGGTCTCCCTAGACCTGCCCGATTTTTTCCAGTCTCCCTATTATCTTTTCTTTTCTCCCCTCCCCCCATAGGTGCAAACCTGCTCAGGGTGCCGGCCCCCGCGGCCACGGCCACCAGCCCCTCACACACAGCTAACCTTCTCGTTCACTGTGCTGACGAGGTCCGTGCGCGCAGCTGCCTGGTTCTGCTTTCCCAGAGGAACCATGGTGCAGTCGTTCTCTGTCGTCTGGGCGTCTGTCTTTGAACTGTGTTTGCGTCCCCTGGGGAGCTGACTCGACTTGTAGGCCAAGGCCGGGATAGTGTTCACCAAAATCAACTGCAGCGGTTTTTTGTTTTCCTTGTACTGGCACTGGATGTACCGCGAGAAGGCCGCCCGGTAGGTCTTGTTGAACAGCGTGTACACCAGCGGGTTGACGGCCGAGGACAGGTAGCCGATCCAAACGAACACGTTGAGCAGGCCGGCCATGACGTCCTCGTTGCAGGACTCCTTGCAGATGACGGCCAGGATGTTGGTGATGAAGAAGGGGCACCACATCACCACGAAGAGGAAGAAGACGATGCCCAGCACCTTGCAGGCCTTCTGCTCGTTGCTGATGGACTGCATGGTCCTCCTGCCGTAGGCGCCCGGCTCCCGCGGCGCCGCCCGCTGGAAGAGCTTCTCCGACGACAGCGAGCTCTGCGGCAGGAAGCTGAACGAGGCCAGCTTGGCCCGCGCGCCCGCGTCACTCCCGCACAGGGTGGCCTCCTTCTGGAGCGACTTGATCGTCAGAAAGTAGGTGATCACCATGATGGTCAGCGGGATGAAGAATGACACGAAGGAGCCGATCAGGACGAAGTTGTCGTCGGCGAGGAGGCAGCTCCCTTCTTTGAAGACCTTGGAGTCGTCCTGCAGCCCGAAGACTGGAATTGGCATGGAGATACCTGGGGTCGGACAGAGGGCGAAATGGGGTTATTGCGGAGGCGAGGACCCGCAGACAGAGCAGCGCCGCATAGCGGTGGCCGCGCGAAGGACTGGATATCAACTCTCCCTTCCTGTGCTTCCAAAGAAAATCGTACTTGCAAAAAAATTTTATTTTCTCTTGAACTTCCTTACAGATGTTATATAGCTATGCTCTATTATGTGACATATACTATGATATGTAGTTACCACATTGCATTCTAGTACATAGCTATATATTAATTATAATATATCCCTATATGTAATATATATCAACTATATATAATATATAATTCCTTAATTTTGTATGTTATGTTGCCCAATATATAAGCCTTTGCTTATGAAGAAGTGTAATGCATCTAGCTTTAATTTTTCAGGCTCTACTTCTGCCATCATAACATTCTGTAATTGAAGAGAATACACAGAGACAAAGAAACAAAAATGAGACTGAGAATAGCGCCACCGCCCAGAGAGAATCACCGTTAACAGCATGATGCCATTTATTTTATTTTATTTTCATGCCCTAAGTTTATTTACAAACACATCTAGTGTGTTGAGTTCAACAATTGACGCCGCTTAAAACGCTCCTCTTCCTGTCTGTTCCATGGCTTAACTGAAATGTCCTTATTTCGTAAGCTGTTGGGGTCTCACTGCAAAGAAAGGTGCGGCAAGTCCAAGGTCACAGGACACTGCGAGCAGACTTGTAACTGCCAGAGTGATGCTCTGCACAGCGCTTTCTCAGTAACCGCTTCCAGCCTCTTCACAGACTTAATGGACAATATTTGTCACTTGTCCAAGCAAGGCCATCCTAGGATTCTTGGAAGGTGGAGATAAATGACATCAGAATTGTTCTTAAGGACATTCAGTGTGGTTAACATCTCTTCATTTCCTTCACGCTTCTCTGTCCCTGGCCTGTGGTTGGGAACATTTTTGGAGCCAAGAAGAGATGGAAGAGTTATGGTTCCATGAGAAACATCCTCTGAGACTCTTGATGCACACCAGTTTTGTTTACCTTCAGAAGGCTCTTATTTTATTTTTCAATTACAGTTTACATTCAATATTATTTTGTATTAGTTTCAGGTGTACAGCATAGTGAATAGACAATCACATACTTTACAAAGCGTTCCCCCGATAAGTCTAGTACCCATCTGGCCCCTTACATAGTTATTATAACACTATTTTTTTAAAGATTTTATTTATTTATATTTAGAGACAGGGGAAGGGAGGGAGAAAGTGAAGAAGAGAAACATCCCTATGTGTTTGCCTCTCACGCACCCCGTACTGGGGACCTGGCCCACAACCCAGGCCTGTGCCCTGACTGGGAATCGAACCAGCGACCCTTTGGTTCACAGGCCAGTGCTCAATCCACTGAGCCACGCCAGCCAGGGCACAACACTATTGACTCTATTCCTTAGGCTGTACTTTACGTCCCTGTGACCATTTGTAACTACCAATTTGTACTTCTTTAACCCTTCACCTTTTTCACTCAGTCCCCAAATCCCAATTCCCTCTGGCAGCCACCACTCTGTTCTCTGCACCTATGAGTCGGTTTCAATATTGTTTGTTCATTTACATTGTTCTTTAGATTCCATGTATAAGTGGAATTAGATGGCATTTGTCTTTCTCTGATTTATTTCACTTAGCACAATAACCTCTAAGCCCATCCATGCTGTTGCAAATGATAAAATTTCATTCTTTTTTGTGGCTGAGTAGCATTCCGTTATATAAATGGGCCACAGCTTTTTTATCCACCCGTCTACTGACAGGCACTTGGGCTGCTTCCAGATCTGGGCTGCTGCGAATATCGCTGCAGTGAACATGGGGATGGCCTTCAGGAGACTTTCGATCGTGCAAGTGAAGACAGGGTTTCTAAGACGTACGTTTTGTTTTCCTAGCGTTTGAAACTGTACCTGTTAAAGGTGTTTCCTGTACTCATCTACAAGGTCTTTGTTTCGCAGTGTAGCTGTCACTGGTTGGAGCAGATGCCGTGGTGGCACGCAGACCTGGATTTGCGTCTCTGCCCTGGCTCTTTGCTCCCGGACCTGTAACTTCATCCCCGGGGGCCTCGGTGCCTTGCCTGTCATGGGAGGATGGCCCGCACACATCCCCTGGATGTGGCGAGGCTACAATGAGTCAAATATGCCGAGACCCAGGACCGCGTGTAGTCCAGAGTGGATATCCTCCTGACTAGAGTAGCTTTCTCTGCAGAATCGTTCAGGTTGAATGCATTAACATCATTGTTTTCCTAATTTTGTTCTATTTCACGCAGTTTATAGATGCTGGGCGTTAATATGTAACAGATCTTCTTAACCCAAAAGGGGCTAAAAAGCATTTTGCCTGTTGGCTGCATAGTTAATAAGGGTGTAATTAGTAGCTTCTGCCAGGGTGACAAAGGGACTCAGTTAATTTTAATTTTGTACAGCTTGAACTGTTGATTGCTTTTCTAATGCGATACGTTACAGCCATTACTACTAGTCAGGATACACATAAACAAAAAACCGTTGATCCAAAAACAGGTATATTATCTTGTTATTAAACTCTGGGCTGCACACTTTCCTGATTAATGCAAAGGGAGTTGCCACCTTGTGAGCTTTTTATCGTATTTACTTGTGACCTGGTGATTCATGTAAGTGGCAATTTTCTATTAACCAGAATATGGGAATTACCTAAAAATAGCAAATTCTTCAACCATTTGCAATTCAGATGAGAACACACACACACACACACACACACACACACACCCCCTCACAGGAAGGCTCCCCTTCTGTGGTCAAGGAGGGAAAGGCAGAGAGAGCAACAGCACTGAAGTAGAGGTTCCCCGCCTCCGTGGCCCGGGGTTGAAGAGTCCCTTCGAAGCGGATGTGGCAGGAGGGCCCAGGCAGGCTGTCTAGAAGGGGCACCTTAATTTCGAGGTGGAGAACCCACTGATTAGGGCTCTAGACAGCCTGTTCCTCTTTACAGAGAACAAAAAAATCCTCGGTACCTCCCTAACCATTCTCTTCCAGTGCCTCCTCCATGGGGAGCGCCAGCAAGGGTTTGTGAAAAGAATAACTAGACAGGGAAAGCCACACTCCATAAAAGAGGGGACAGAATTTCACATCCAGGAACTAGGACACGGAGGTAGGCTTTGTGGGGCGAGCAAGCCGTTCAAAATGCCAGGCCCGCTGAGAGGCGAGGGTGCGGGCTCAGGGCCGGGGTGGCGAGCCGGCCAGCCGGTCGCAGGGCGCTCGTTTGCTGGCTGCTTTGTTTGACAATAGCTGCTCTTGGAGACCTGACATTTCCTTTCACTTGAAATTTCTGCATATAAAGCATTTTTCTTTCTGAGCAGACAGAAAGTAGCTTGCACTACGTGACTTTGCATTTTGTGGGAGATATTCTTTTCCGAGGAGTGGAAAACAGCAATCAAACTTCAGCATCTGCATTGCACTGTCCTTGCATATTTTTATGTCTTTTCATTACGACTCAGACAACACAATGAACAGGAAACACTGACACCCAGAAACACACAGGCCCTGGCTGCTGCCTCTCTTTCAGGGGGACCCTAGCTTGCTCTTTGCGCATAAAGTTTGCACCTCCGGTTTAGGCCTTACTGCAGTCTGGGTAAACAAATGGCTTGAACTCGGAAGCACTGGCTGCGAAAGATGGATTTTATCCCTAATCTTACATTTCATCTCATGGGACTGAAGGCACTGCCGTGACAGTGTTCCCTTGGGAAATGAGAAGGCCACTCTACTAGGCAGCCACCTCAGGTGGGGAACACCGCAGTGGGGTGGGGAGAGAGAGAGAGAGAGAGAGAGAGAGAGAGTGTGTGTGTGTGTGAGGCCTGTGTCCTCTCAGGGCCCGTAGGAGGCCGAAGGGAAGGACGCAAGCACGTCAGGGCTCTTGTGAAAAAGAGTGAATTTTGGTCCCTAGTTTTCATTTTCTTGGGATTCCTTTTGCATTTTAATCCATGCTGAGTTGTTTCAGGTTATTAGAATAGTGTACTGGCCGTGCGACAGTGAGGCCACGAGCAGACGCTGCGGGAGAAGGGACACCGCGCGGGGTCGGAACAGCAGAGCCGCTGGGGCCGGGACTGCGGTCCTCCGGTCCTCCGGGTACAGGCTGCGAGGCTCAGGCGCCGCGAAATCCCGGTGGCCCCTGGCCTGCCGGCAAGGCAGACCCGCGCGGAAGGGAGGGCTGCAGACGCCTGTCGGTCACCCATGAAATGGGGGGCTTCTTCTGAGAGTAACTGAGTATCTCTAATAATAAATCGTACATTTTCAAAGTACTTTCACCTATATTCATTTACCCTCAATTAGTTTTTTTAAAAAATTTATTGATTGACTTTAGAGAGAGAGGAGGAGTGGGGGAGAGAGAAAAAAAAACATTGATTTATTGTTCCACTTACGGAGGCATCATTGGTTGCTTCTTGTATGCGCCCTGATGAGGGATCGAACCCACCACCTTGGCATATCCGGGCAACACTCTAACCAACTGAGCTACCTGGATGGGGGCCTCAAATGATTTTTTTAAACCCAATTGTAAAAATATTAGCCACACCATTTTATGGACAGCTACACATTTCACTTTAGAGAAAAACTGAGGCCTAACCAGCTTCGATGGCCTATTTAGAATCACATAGCACTTCAGGGGCAAAATCAATCCCCAGCCTTAGGTCTCTTGAGTCTCATGGCTGATTGTTGTCATCTGCTTGTCGGTTCCCTTTATGGAAGTTATAAAAGTCTATGACTATATCAGGTGGCCTGACACTGGTTCTAGGAAGACTGTGATAATCCTAAAATCTGCAAAACTTGCATATATGTACATTGTTTCGGAGAAAGCATTTTCACCAGATTCTCAGGACAGTTTCCTCTCTCAATGTAGTTAGTAACCACTGAATTCCATCAGTGCCCTATGGATAAAGAACACGCGCGCGCGCACGCACACACACGGATGGAACACAAATGAACACACACACACTCCCTGATGACTCCCTGCACCTTCA